AATGCTGGAACCTTTGGAAATAATGTGAGTTGATTAACCAATTACATCTTATGTGCCTCTCTCTGCAGATTGAGGCAGTGAGCAACACAAATCACACAGCAGATCAGTTAAAACATACATATTAAAATCCATGGATACTTTTTAAAGCCATATATATATATATATATATATATATATATATATATACTTTTTAAAGATAGATAGATAGATAAGATAGATAGATAGATAGATAGATAGATAGATAGATAGATAGATAGATAGATAGATATCCTAGCCTTCCCCTGCCATGCATTACTGTGGTCCAGTTTGTGAATATGTGTTTTGTGTGTGTATTTGTATGTGTGTATATATATTTGTGTATATGTGTATATGTGTGTTGGCGTATATATATGTGTATGATTTTGCGCATGTGTTGTAATTTTTTTAATTTTTTGCTTTTTAAGTCTCTTCTGCTGTGTTTTTCAGTGTTTTGAAGAGTGATGGTCACTTGTTGGCCTGATAGGTGTATTGTGTCCAAATTTGGTGTAAATTCATCCAGTGGTTTTTGAGTTATATTAATCCCAAAAACTAAAATTACATTTTTATTTATATGCTAGCCATCACCTGCCACATGTTGCTGTGGCCCGCTCTGTGTATATGTGTTTTGTGTGTGTATATATTTGTGTATATGTGTAAATATGTTGTTTTGCGCATGCATTGTAATGGTTTTTTTTTTGCTTTTTAAGTCTTTTCCACTTGTTTTCAGTGTTTTTATGAGTGATGGTCACTTGTTAGCCTGATAGATGTATTGTGTTCAAATTTGGTGTCAATTCACCCAGTGTTTTTGAGTTATGTTAATCCCACAAATGAGCATTACATTTTTATTTATATAGATGGCTGCACTGAAAGCTGTAATCATCTAAATGGCTTTGAAAGTGAGTGGTGCCATATTAACTAAGCTGTAGGCTGTTATAAATTCCATTGTCCAATAAGGATTCATTTACAAATTGATCCTGAATTTACAAGGGCATCTGTAAAATATGTAATATATTACTGTAAGGATCCCACTATTTCGACACAACAGCTTTACAGCCTCCAACTCAGGTTAGAGTAAAAATGGTCAAAGGTATTAACAAGAAAGAACACTCAAAACAGAAGACAGGCACTGCAGTAGTTTGTTTTTGCCTGAGCCTATTGGTAAAGACAAAACTGTACCACCTCCTCTTTTTTGCCCTTTGGGGTGCATCTCCTCCATGATGACATGATGGCAACAGTCTTGGACAGCAATGGCTTGCAAAGTGACCCCATTTAAGGTGGAATCAGGTGTCAAACAGGGATGTGTTGTTGCCCCAACCTTATTTTCCATCTTTATCGCTGTGATTCTTTGCCTTTTTAATGGGAAACTTCCCACTGGTGTGGAAATCATCTATCAGACAGATGGCAAGCTATTTAACCTCAGCAGATTGAAAGCCAAAACCAAGGTCACAACTACTTCTGTTATAGAACTCCAATATGCTGATGATAATGTAGTCTGTGTTCACTCAGAAGAAGACCTACAAGCTCTAAATACCTTTGCAGAAGCATATGAGAAGCTCGGACTCTTACTTAACATTGAGAAAACCAAAGTGCTCTTTCAGCGGGCACCAGCCAATCCCTCTGCAATGCCAGAAATACAGCTTAATGGTGTAACATTAGAAAATGTTGAACATTTCCGCTACCTTGGCAGCTACTTCTCCACAAAAGTCAACATCAACAATGAAATACAACACCATCTGAGCTCTACGAGTGCTACATTCTTCCAAATGAAGCAGAGAGTGTTTGAGGATTGGGACAGTCGTAGGGATACCAAGATCCTTGCTTATAAAGCTATTGCCCTCCCAACCCTATTATATGCCTGTGAAAAATGGACTGTCTACAGACATAACTCTCAACTTCTGGAAAAATTCCATCAGCATTGCCAAAAAAAGGCCTGCAAATCTCTTGCAAAGACAGGTGGAGAAATGTCAGCGTACTGGAAGAAATAAAAACCACCAGCACTTATGTGATGACCCTCTGCCATCAACTTCATTTGATGGCCACTTTGTCTGAATGCCCGATTCCCATTTCCCAAAGCTGTTACTCTACTCTGAACTCAAGAACAGAAAACGGAATATTGGTGGACAGGAAAAGAGATTTAAAGATGGGCTTAAAACCAACCTTAAAAACTATGGTATAGACACAGAAAATTGGGAAGCCCTGACCCTTGAGTGTTGTGACTGGAGGTCAGCTGTGACCAGCAGTGCTGTGTTATTTGAAGAGGCACAAATGGAGGGTGAAGGAGAGAAAGGTGTCAAAAGGAAGATGTGTCAAGCAAACTGGGATTGCCTTCCATCTGGAAACTGTGTAGGAAACATGCAGATCCAGAATAGGTCTCTACAGTCACCTATGGACCCACTGCCAAGACCCTACACTTGAAGGCAATCATACTCAGTCACAAGTTATCGCCTATGATGACACTGTAGAATTAATACCATTTGACACTACTTTAACTGCCATGACTTAACGATATGGGATCCTATGTTTTGTATTTTGGTGAGGCACCAGCACTCATTGGCAAAACAGGCTAAAGACCTTGCAAAACTACAACTCACATGATTCCATATCATGTCAATTAACGTAGCATCGAACTTCATTAATTCTGCATCCCTACATCATGGTATATACTGTAGTTAATTTGGAAATAAGGCAAATTTACTCCACAATCTGAACCAACTCCTGCATCTGATTCTTGTTAGTAGACTTCCGGATTCTAGAAAAAAGCAAAAAAGATGGCCACACAAGCCAGAACTGTATTCACTCTCATTTTTTAAGAGCACTGGTGAGCTCAACTGTTCTGCACACTAGAGTATTTTTTTTTTACCTAGAGTTTGGCGAGTCTTTTCCTATGCAATTCTGCAGTATCTCTCATTTCACAAACATGAGATGACTTAGAGCTTCTTAGATGAAACAGAGCCTTTGGGTGTCACCTGGTGACCATTAGATGGTACTACAACATATTGGCTGGGTTTTTTTTAGGATTTCTAGGTCTAATACACAAAACTTCATGTGTCATTGTTTTTGAACAATGTGTTACTCAGAGTAAGAGAGTTTTTTAATTAGGAAAGTAAAAGCAGAAATCATTACGCTTGTTTTTAATGAGTTCACACCAACCCGGGCTTGAACTGTCAACCTTTCAATTGGCAAGATTTTCTATAGCTGGTGGTTAATCTGTTGTGCTAAAGCATGACCTTTGTGTGGAACTAATAGTATTTTGTGGTCCCCACCAAACAAGTTTAAATATTTTTCCCTATAACGCCTACAAATGCCCCCTATCGAGTGGGTGGGAAAATCCTCCATGGTTAAGCCATACCAGATATTTGACAGCCAGGAAGCCTGAGGTCTCTCAAAGTGATAAAATAGCCCTGGGTGGACAAAAATGTAGGGAAATAGTCCCCATGCCCCTAAAAGGTACTGCAATAATTTGAGGTTGACAACACTTTGATCTTTTCTTTACTTTTGCATTGTGGGGACCTGGCCCTCCAAGGTCCTGCTGGGGGAGTAATGTGACACCATATTCCCTGGCAATTGCACATCACACTTTAAAATACAGTTAGGCAACTTTCTGGTGAGAAACAATGGCTGCCATCCTGTTTAGCAAGTACAAAATTAGAGATTATGGACTTTGTTGTTCTAGTCGTTTCTGACCAATGGCAACACTATTATAGAAGTTTCTTGGCAATTGTTCAGAAGATGTTTAACTAAAAAAAAAAGAGTGGGGACTGCATGCAAGGCTTTCCAATGGCAAGGTAGGTGGCAGTGAAGCATTAGCTGACCAAAAGCACTCCAAATCTTAACCTAGTGAAGTGTACAACACTGCCAGTGGCTGTTAAATGTAGCCTAATAACAACTGTATGGTAATGGCACAAGGTCAATTTCAACCTGTTAAAGTGTGTGGGTGTGGGTGTGTGAGCACTCTAACTGGAGGTCAGCTATGACCAGCAGTGCTGTGGAATTTGAAAATGCGTGGAGGACGAAAGGGAGAAACATGCCAAGAGGAAGGCGTGTCAAGCTAACCCTGACTGGGACCGCCTTCCACCTGGAAACCAATGCCCTCACTGTGGAAGAACATGCAGATCCAGAATAGGTCTCTACAGTCACCTATGGATCCACCGCCAAGACCTTACACTTGGAAGGCAATTGTACTTAGCTATGAGTTATAGCCTACAATGATGACACTGTAGAATTAATACCATTTGACACTACTTTAACTGCAATGATTTAATGATAGAGGATCTAGGGTTTGTAGTTTGGTGAGGCACTAGCACTCATTGGCAACGCAGGCTAAAGACTTTGCAAAACTACAACACACTGTGGAAGAACATGTGGGTCAAAACTAGGGTTCTACAGTCACCTATGCATCCACCGCCGGGACACTACACTTGGAAGGCCATCATGCTTGGACAATGAGGGATCGCCTAAGTAAGATTGAGAGAGAGGTAGATAGACAGACAGGCAGATAGATATGTGACAGATAGGCAGAGAGTTATGTGAACAAAATTATGATGTTGCTGGTGAACCAAGTGGGGCAGAGTTCTATGGAACCGATTGCCCATTTTGCAGAGGTGGAACCACAAAGCAAAAAACCAAACCAAGATAACATGAATTGCTCACCTCTGGCAAGATATACTAGAAATGGAGATAATAGCCCTGAAACCACACAGCACTCCAATTGAGACATTTGTGTGCCTCTCTCATTCTCCGTAAGACTGCTGTTGCATGAAAGAAAGCACTAAAGGGGTGTAATGTTTTGCCGTGTGTGTGCATTGTGATCTGCCCTGAGTCTTCTCCGGGGTGAGAAGGGTGGAATATAAATACTGTAAATAAAGAAATAAATAAGTAACTGGATACTGCCAAATGAACCCCAGAATCCATGCTAGATGGGACATTCCAAAAGTTGTAGTCGCCCAAAAGTAACTTCTTCAATCTCTGATCTCAATGCCAAGTTGGTCTGTAATACAAATATTTATTTTGTTTCAATTATACATCTGATTACACCAAACCATGAAGAAAGTGCCACTTAAAGCATCATCTTGAAATCCTAGTAATGCAAACCGTTTATACAGTTCAAGGGTATAAATCATATATTTCACTTTTTTGTTGCCAGAATGCAATCTATATATTTGGCTATTTATTATTATGGTAAAGGCATCTCATTTTTCCAAGGAGCTGATTATGCGCATATTTTGCTGACCATATACTGAAAAAGGACACACAGAATAGGCACAGTCTGTATTTGAGTTGAAAGAACAATTCAATGAAGTCCAAAATTTTGGTAAGAAGTGTACAAAGGACTCGGGAGATGCTTGTAATTGAGATGGGATCACAAGATGATCACAAGATCAGCATCACTTGTCAGTGGAACTGGATGGCCATCTGTCGAGGGTGCTTTGAATGCAATTTTCCTGCTTCTTGGCAGGGGGTTGGATTGGATGGCCCATGGGGTCTTTTCCAACTCTATGATTCTATGAACTGATTGGAATCAAACAATCTTCAAGTGTTATGCACTAATGATTGCAAAGATTCTGGATAGCCCATGCAAACTAATGGCATACGAGCAGGAAACACTACATTTCCTTCCTAGTCATCCTGGTCTGGAAGCAAGGATTCTTTACTCTTCACAATCGTCTCTTTCTAGTTTCCAGAGTTTCTTACCTGATCCAACAATTTGATCTAATGTTAAGTGTTTTCATTCTCTCCCTTTCTTTTCTACCTACTGTATTCATTGTCTAACTTATGCTACTTTTTGTAAAAACATATCTCACAGTAGTTGTCAGTATAAACTTTCTAAATAGGAAATTAACTCAAAATAAGCCATTCATTTATTGAGTTTTCTTTCAATACAGACTTCGCTTTCTAGAGAACAACTGTTAGTCATTGTCCTAGTAGTTTCTACTTTTCTATTCTCTGGCAACTCTACAGACAGATCTTCAGTGAATGTTGATTCAATACAGAGGATGCAACCATAGATCCAGTTCTCATTATCTTGTCGTGGAATTCCAGACTTTGGCTTGAGCACAGATTCCACCTCAGTATCTCTCCAGTTTATCCGCCCTAAAAACCGCATAATGTTCATTATCTCTTGTTTACTGACACTTCCAAGGTAATTCCAGCAGCTGAAGGGCTCTACGTTTCACAAGGCTGTAAGTTTTGTAGCTGATGTTTCCTTTGCCTGACCTTCGTCTCTGTTGAGTTGTGGAGGCAAGGTGACCGGCGCATCCCAGTGGTTCTCCTCAATCTTTAAGGCGAGATTGTCAAACCCCGTGCTGGTTGCCAATGGCAGGCTAGTGGCAACGGCCTCAATGGTACGGGTTGGAGTGGAACAATACATGATGAAGCCCACCATGATGACCACAAAGGAGAGGAGATACAGCACTGAAAACTGACAAATACAAAGGAAAGGTGGAAATAAGTAATTGGAAAGCAATTCTCCTGTACAAATACAGACAAAGCATGACATATACTTTGGACATTTTGAGTTTAATTGTTCTCAAGCCAACTTTGAATTATGTTGACTCCATAAATGAGAGACTTCCAAGTGTCCCTATTCTCAACAGCCCTGCTCAAGTCTTGCAGACCCAGAACAGCCATGGTTTCTTTGACTCTTTGGCCAGCTCGATTATTTATTTATTAATTATTTATTAAGAGCATTTCTATCCCATCCTCGTCTCCAAAGAGGGACTCAGGACGGCTACCAGCAGGCACCAGTCGGTGCCAAACAAAACACAGCATAAAATAAATGTAACCTACATTAAAAACAGTTATAAATACATTAAAACAATTCACCATTACAAGTCATCCTCCAAGTCAATCCTTAGCCGTCACCAAGAAGGCCTTGTCTCTTGTTCCCACCAAACATGATTGTGATGTCGACAAGACTGAGAGCATGGTCAATCTTAAGGTCCTTTGGGGTTCATAGAGGAAGATACATTCAGACAGGTAAGCTGGGCCACAGCCGTTTAGGGTTTTATAGGTCAAGACCAGCACTTTGAATTGTGTTCAGAAGTGAATTAGCAACGAGTGGAGCTGGCATAAAAGGGGATTGTACACTCCCTGTACTCCGCTCCTGTGAGCAACCTGGCTGCCCAGCATTGGACTAGCTGGAGCTTCCAAACAGTCTTCTGAGGCAATCCTATCTAGAGTGTGTTGCAGCAATCTATACAGGATGTAACCAGAGCGTGGATCACCATGGCCAAGTCCGACAAGTTCTTTCTCCCACCTGGACATTCTAGTGATACATAAACCTTACTTGCCTAGTTTCCAACAGACCTCATAACCTCTGAGAATGCCTGCCATAGATGTGGGTGAAATGTCAGGAGATAATGCTTCTGAAACATGGCCATACAGCCCAGAAAATTCACAGCAACCCAGTGTTTCTGGTCATGAAAGCCTTCAACAACAGGTCTAAATTACCTTAGCTAAGATGCTTCTATCCTTTATTTAGCATCGAAGCTAAGTTGCATCAGGGAGGAGGAAGCAAGCTTGTTTTCTGCTGCCCTGGAGACTAGGATGCGGAACAGTGACTTCAAACTACAAGAAAGGAGAACATTAGGAAGAACTTCCTGACTGTGAGAGCCGTTCAGCAGTGGAACTCTCTGGAACTCTCTGGAGTGTGGTGGAGGATCCTTCTTTGGAGTCTTTTAAACAGAGACAGAATGCCCACCTGTCAGGGGTGCTTTGAATGCAATATTCCTGCTTCTTAGCAGGGGGTTGGACTGAATGGCCCATGAGGTCTCTTCCAACTCTATAATTCTATGATTCTATGGAATAGTAATTTAGAATGTGAAAAAACCTACAGAGAGAGACCTCTTTAATTCTTTAATACCCTCAAAACATAGAAAAAAATTCTGGCTAACTTTGTCTGAAAGAGATAAATGATCACAGCAGAAGAAGCATCCAGCTGTCTGTAATTAGTGAGATACTGGACAAGGTGTCATGACACGAGGAATTTGTTCCCATCTCAAGGGTTCAAAGCCAATGCAAGCTGGGGAGATACCAGATTATCAGCATCTCATGATGTTCCATAACATCACGAGATGTTAACGAGAAAGCCACTCATGTTAGAAAACAATTTATAAAATCTTTCTTTCAAACATAATTTCCAACAACATAGATAATGCATCCTTTTCAGCCTGATCTGTTCTCCACATGGGCACTGCTACCATCACCCTTTTCTTACACTAATCTATAGTTTAATGCTATAGTTTAACTATAATTTAACTATTATAGGTTTTAATGAGATACATTTTATATGTTCCCATTTAGTAATCAGCCCTGAGTCCCATGGGATAGAGATAAATACATATATATGCAATATGTATGCTAAGGTAAAGGTTTCCCCTGATATTAAGTCTAGTCGTGTCAGACTCTGGGGGGTAGTGCTCATCTCCATTTCGAAGCTGAAGAGCCAGCATTGTCCATAGACGCCTCCAAGGTAATGTGGCCAGCATGACTGCATGGAGCATCGTTACCTTCCCGCCAGAGCAGTACCTATTGATCTACTCACATTTGCATGTTTTCAAACTGCTAGGTTGGCAGAAGCTGGAGCTAACAACAGGAGCTCAGCCTCCAAGGTAATGTGGCCAGCATGACTGCATGGAGCATCGTTACCTTCCTGCCAGAGCAGTACCTATTGATCTACTCACATTTGCATGTTTTCAAATGGCTAGGTTGGCAGAAGCTGGGTCTAACAACAGGAGCTCAGCTCACTCCCCAGATTCAAACTGCCAACTTTTTGGTCAGCAAGTTCAGCAGGTCAGCGGTTTAACCCACTGCACCACCAGGAGCTCCAATATATATGCTACCACAGGCAAAAAAGCAACAATTATGGACTGTTTTCAAGCCTTTGGAAGATCAATATGCTCAGCAGCTCAAAAGAAAACAAAAGGCTTTTTGGATCATCAGAATACTGCCATCAAGTGACTGACAGAAGTGAGGGAATATGAAAACCGATGGCCTAATCCTCGATTATCCTCACAGTAAGGCATGCCGTTTTCCCCAAAAGCCAGGTTCAGATGTTCTGCCACTAATTAGCTTAATGTGTCCGCCTTGGATTCACCTCTTTTAGGAGGCACAATCCCATCAAGCAGCTCAGACCATAAAGTTATAGGAGTTTCGCCAATGTTCCTGTAATTATGTGGGATTAACTTGCATAGTTAATAGAGGGCACCAGGTCAGAGAAGCCTGTCTTAATTCGTGGATCTTGGAAAAATTATGACCATGTTAATATAGTGCCTAAAAGGGTTCAAAGGTCTTGAGAGTAAATATATTTCAAAGCAGATATGGAGGAAATTCGGCTTAGTATTATCAGGGGGAATAGAACCCAGTTTATGAAAAAAGAGAAAAAAAATACTGTTCAAAAGGTTAAGTATTGCAAGATTACAACTCCAGTCTCATTATGTTTACAACTCCAGTCCCATTGTGCTGAAGCATGTTGTCATATCCGTCTCACAGCATCAATATAAGAATTCAATTTAATACTGAATGAGGGGAGCATCCCTGCAGGGACAAATAATGTCAGGAGACAGACTCTGGAAAGGTTAACTTTATGGACTGTAGTCCACGAAATCCCCCATCCAACATGCTTGCTAGCCATGGTGGTTGAGGAATTGGCGAGCTGTACTGATTGCATTAATTTAAACGTTTCATTCCAAAAAGTCCTTTTTAATCTTTATGATTATATGCTTTAAATTGTTTTAGTGTTTTTAATAGTTTAATCCCGTTATAATGTTGACCTTTTGTAAAAAGCATGACCCCTGTAACTGCAGAAAGGTATTTACATTTCCATTTACCCACATCCAACATATAGTGGGTTAAATTTCTAGCTGCAGGAAATCTGCTGACCAGAGGGTTAGCAGTTTGAAGTCACAAGTGGGGGTGAGCTCCCAATTGTTAGCCCTAGCTTCTGTCAACCTAAAAGTTTTAAAGAATGCAATGTGCGTAGATCAATAGATACCGCCTCGGCAGGAAGGTAAAAGGGTGCCCCGTGCAGACATGCCAGTAAAACACGATCACATAACAGGCTATGGATAACAGGCTCCCCAGCATGGAAAAAATGGAACAACAGCACCTCCCCATGAATGAAGTTGAGCATCACCTCCATATGCCAGAAATGAAAGGGGAAGGCCTTTACTTTTGTCTATGTATTGTATGTCATTATTGTTCACTGTCATTATTGTTCATTATTGTTCACTGTGTAAAAGGCATCTAATTTTTATCTTATAGCTGTATACTGTAATCTACTCTGAGTCCTTCCAGGGAGATAAAGCAAAATATAAATAAAGTGTATTATTATTATTATTATTATTATTATTATTATTATTATTATTATTATGTCCTCTCTAAGTATTTTCTAGGTTCTCCTGCATGACTCTATGCTATTCTTGGACCAGAAGTCCTTCATTTCAATACAGTTTCATTATTATCTGTGGTTTCATGTTTCCATTGGAGCCCCCGGTGGCGCAGTGGATTAACGCACTGAGCTGCTGAACTTGCTGACCAAAAGGTTGGAGGATGCAGATGCAAGTAGATGAATAGGTAACTGCTCCGGCAGGAAGGTAACCGTGCTCCATGCAGTCATGCCAGCCACATGACCTTGGAGGTGTCTACAGACAACACCAACTCTTCAGCTTAGAAATGGAGATGAGCACCAATCCGCAGAGTCGGACATGACTGGACTTAATGTCAGTGGAAAACATTTACCTTTACATCATGTTTCCATGCCAAGTCTATTCAGAGGCGGCTCAATCCATTACGCAAAGTAAGCATTTGCAGTATAGTTGATTTTGCCCAGGGGCGCTCTTGAGGCACTCTTGGGGGAAAATAGACCTTGACATATGCGAGTTGTAGTTACTGGGATGTATAGTTCACCTACAATCAAAGAGCATTCTGAATTCCACCAATGATGGAATTGAACCAAATATGGAACTGAACCAAACATAACTCAAATATGGCACACAGAACTCCCATGACGAACAGAAAATATATATCAGTGATTGGTTGGGGAAGAGGGGTGCCAAAATACTGTTTGCTTACCATTGAAAATTACCTAGGGCCGCCTCTGAGTCTATTCATACTTCTCCCACAGATATGGGGATCATACAGTATATTAACTATATTGAACTTTTTTTTTAATGTGTAAGCTATGTTGAGTCCTGGTTTTGGGGAAAAGGTTAGATATAAATGAAACTGTGTTGTTGTTTGGTTGGTGGAATACAGTGCGTCTTAAAGGTGAACCACATCCCCATATGTGTGATTCTCCGATTCGAAGAGAAAAAAAACAATCTGGGGAATCTTTGTAGGTGCTTTAGGGACTGTAATACAAGAATTGCCCTCCTTTAGGAAGGGACACAAGATGTAGATCTTTAGTTATTTCTAAATGATGCCAATTAATATGTGGACCATTATAGTAACTTTCAAAACTAAGCTGTCCCAAATGATGATTTGATGCTGCCTCACCTTGTAACCAAACAAGAAGAGTCCAAAGAACAGACTGTAGAGATCCGCTGTCAGAATCCCCAAATTGACCGAAGTGGCGCTGGTGACTTTGATCACGACTGGCATGAAGCTGTAGAGCCCAAACATGCAAAGGGCAAAAGCCAGGAACAGCAACGCTGAAAAGACAAGACAGCGGCTTAATATTTAAAGACAGTGAACACTAAGCGGGGAAGAGAAGGGCAAATACTCTCAGGAGCCTTTAAGCTCAAGTACATACAAGGATAAAAGAAAGTAATGAAAAATATCCCCACTGGACCAAACTGAAGGTCTATCCTTTCCTGTACTCAGTCCCTCCCTGGTGCCTAACACGATACTCTTGAGAAGAGCCAATAAGTCAGGTATTAAAGATGATAGCTCTTCTCTCCCAGCAGCTGGCATTCAGCACAACACATCATCTCATTAATGTGGTTAGGTAATTTTCTACTCTGGATGTAACAATCGTATTGGGAGAGGGGGGAGAAGAAGCGGAGCTCTTCAGAAGGTAATATTTATTGATTCACTGGCTTCAATATATGACAGGTCAGCCCTCTTGCATGAGTGAAGACCTGGATTTCTGCCTAAAAGTGCTGCCCTGATTATGTCACCAGGGTACTTTTGCTCCCAGAGGTTCCAAACTGGCCAAAATGAATAATGGCCAATGATACATTAAACCCTTCTTATGTTTAGTTCCCTTGATGGGAGTGATGGAGAGTCAACTGAAGAGGCAGCATGGAAGATTGCTGCAATACATCATCATAGAGCAGTGTTCCTCAATCTTACTAATGCCGTGACCCCTTAATAAAGTTCCTCATGTTTTGGTGACCCCCAGCCATAAAATTATTTTCATTCCTAGTTCATAACTGTAATTTTGCTAATGTTATGAACTGCAATGTAAATATCTGATATGCAGGATTTATTTTCATTTGCTGGACTAAATTTGGCACAAATACCCAATAGGCCCAAATTTGAATACTGATGGGGTTGGGGGCTTTGATTTTGTCATTTGGAAGTTGTCGTTACTGTGATTTATAGTTCACCTACAATCAAAGAGCATTCTGAACTCCATCAATGATAGAATTAAACCAAACTTGGCACACAGAACTCCCATGAACAACAGAAAATACTGGAATGTGGGCATTGACCTTGAGTTTTGGGGTTGTAGTTCACCTTCATCCGGAGAGCACTGTAGACTCAAACAATGATGGATCTGGACCAAACTTGACATAAATACTCAATATGCCCAAATGTGAACACTGGTGGAGTTTGGAGAAAATAGACCATGACATTTGGGAGTTGTAGTTGCTGGGATTTATAGTTTATCTACAATTAAAGAGCCCTTTGATCCTAACGAATGATAGAATTGAACCAGACTTCCCACACAGAATCGCCATGACCAATAGAAAATGCTGTGTTTTCTAATGGTCTTTGGTGACCCCTGTGACATCCCCTCATGTCTCATCCCCCAACAGGGATCCCAACCCCCAGTTGAGAAACACGGTCATAGAGGCTCATCTCTCGTTTGCTCAGCAATAGTTTGGTAAAGATGTATGAACTTCCAAAATAGATAAACTGATACTGCTAATTGAGGAGAAATCCTTGATTTGTTTTTCAAAAGACTGAAATGTTTTATCTCTTTTTTTAGTTCAAAAAAAGAGGGGGGGATAAAAATGTTAGCTTTTGATAAATAATTGAATCATGTAATAACACTGTTCAACAGAGAAAAAGTTTCGGGCCTGAAAATAGTTGTTCTTTTATGATTTTGGGGTGCTGAAAATGAAAATGACATTTAAAAATGTATATTGGCTCTAGTTTTTATGATATAAGCAATCACGTTGCTAAGTTTAAAAATTGAGACTTTGGAAAAGACAGCCGATACTGAAAAGAATTTGGTTTGTGATATAGTTCCTATGCCTATGCATGTGGGAAAATGGTTTTGGGTTCCATATTTGTTATCTAAAAAAGCCATATGCACAAGATCTAAATATACAAATTTAAAATGATAAAGGAAATAATAGATTCATGTGTACAGTGTGGTATGGTGAGACGAGAATATCAAAAGTTAGAAGGAATATTGATGCCTATGAAGGACTGGCAACCTTTTGGAACAATCTATATTGATTATATAGATAAACTGCCCAGGACTAAAGAGGGATTTCAATATCTGTTAGTAGCAATAGATAGCTACAGCGGTTGGGTGGAAGGGTGGCCTACAAGAAGAAATGATGCAGCAACCACAGTAAAGAAATTGTTTACAGAACTGTTTTGCCGGGTAGGAATACCAGGGACAATAAGTTCGGATCGTGGATCAGCTTTTATTAGCAAAGAAATGGAAAAATTGGAACATAGTTTTGGGATAAAAAGGAAGCTGCACATTTCTTATAGACCACAAAGTTCAGGAAAAGTTGAAAGGGCAAATCAAAACATCAAAATAATGTTGAAAAAATTGGTAAGGGACAATGGGAAGGACTGGGCAGACAAATTATCATTGGTTTTAATGGCTTTGAGAAGTAGTCCAATTGGCAGACATGGATACTCACCTTACCAGATACTGTATGGACATGAAATGAATTTGGGACTTCCACAAATACAAGAAGAGGAAGTAGGAGATTTGGAATGGTTGAGAACTATGAAAGAAAGAGATCAGATGAGAGTAATGATAAAGGAAGAAATGAAATTGGAATTACAACAGCCAGGACAATTGGAAAAGCAAATGATACCAATAGGAACACAAGTTTGGTATTTGCACTTGGGTCCAAAGGAACACAACTTGAGACCTAAGTGGAAAGGACCATATACTATAATGGATAGAATATGGCCCACAAGCTACTTGATTGAAAAGGATGAGAAAACAAGATGGGTACACAGGAACCAGATCAAAACTGTAATGGGCATGGAATAAATCAAATAATGATTGTGTGTAAATTTAATAATTGTATTGATTGTGTCTTTCAGGAATGAAGCCAAAAATTGGAGCATTGGTCTATGTACTTGCAGGTTTACTCATCACAGCACTACTAATAATACTCTGGGAACTAGAAGAGTTAAGAAACAAAATATCTTCACCAGACATTTTGGGATGGAAACGAAGAAAAGTAGTAAGAGGCTGTACCTTGTGGACCTGTAAGTACATATGCTAATGGGAAGACCACCTGCAAAAGAAACAGGATTACCTAGGTCTAGATCAGCAGCTGTAACTTTCCTAGTTAGATTGGTCCATGTGTGGCCAGTCTTTTCATACATATTACAACTTCAGAAAGCAAGGTGGATATTGCGGTATAACCCTGAATACAGAACCAACTACACAATAAGATTAATTATAGACAAACCAAACGAAGGAAAGTGGGACATAAGGTTCAAGGAATTTCCAAAATGAATACCATCAAACTATTGATAATCTTTTGGCACATAATAGGAACAGTTAAATATTTACAGGGATCAGAATATGAGGGAGTGAAGATAACAAGGGGGGCCCATAGGGTTCTACCGTTCTATGCTAATATGGAATGCATTAATGTAGCCATAACAGAGGGACAAATACTATGGAAAGTAGCAGGGGAATGGAATGGAATAGTAACTCATTTTTGGGTGAGACCCAGACCTATAGGGAAAAAGGAAATCACAGTAAGCCAAGAATATCCAAACATGAAACTGTATTACCAGCCAATTTGTCATAAACGTTTTGACTATTTTGGACTTCCATGCTATACCTGCATAAGAGGTAAAGAATGGGAAGAATTTAAAAATCTGACTAGGTGGAAAAGGATATATGGAAGCGTAAACATAACACATGATTGTGATGAAAAGAAACACTTCAAAAGCATTGTAGTTTTAGGAAAATTCAATGAGTCAGGGGAAGGAAAGTGCTGTGACAAAGAATATCCAGTACTGTGCAAATATTATGTGGCAGTCTACATGCTGATAAGGGATAAGATTGAAGATGACAGAGGACAAAACCAAACAACAGTGATGCGGCAATGGCAAGACACAACTCCCATGATTGCAGGAGCAAATATCCATACTTGGCATATGAACTTAAATCTATCATTATTGAATGTATCAAAAATGAAACCTGAATGTGCAAAATGGACAAACCCCTATTTAGAAATGATAGAACAGCGGCAAGACATATGGAGACGACATAAAAGAGATTTGATCAACACTATTTTGGGAGGAATAGGGACAGGAACAGGGGTATTAAACTCATGGGACATTGAAAAAGGGGCAAATAAACTATCAACATTAGGAGAAATGCAAAAGGGGATATTGCAACTGACAGGAAAAACATTTGTGGGAACATTCAGAAATCATGTACTCTCTGCCGGATTGCAACTAAGAATATTTGACCAGCTAAACCAATCTTTGGTTGCTTTAATGAAAGCCGAAAATGAATCCTTACAACAAATAAGTAAGGCCATGAGTTGTTTAACTATACAAATAAATTTGAGAGATTGGAGAGAAAAAATGTTAATGCTGATAATGGGAGGGCACTCAGAAGCCTTCCTAGAATTGACAAAACTGCATCATTGGTTAAGAACTGATTATAAAGGATGGAGTAAGCTTGTCAAATATTCTTGGAAAAATGATATGCTAAGTTTAAAAATTGAGACTTTGGAAAAGACAGCCGATACTGAAAAGAATTTGGTTTGTGATATAGTTCCTATGCCTATGCATGTGGGAAAATGGTTTTGGGTTCCATATTTGTTATCTAAAAAAGCCATATGCACAAGATCTAAATATACAAATTTAAATGAAACAATTGATATTGACAGATGCGAAAATTGGGAAATGGGATATGTGTGTCCTTTAACAATAAGGCAAATTGAACCATGTGCATTGGAAATATCAGATGCAATTTGCAGGTTGCAAAAACTAAAACCCAGAACCATGGTATATGACAATGGAATGCAGTGCCTATGTGCTATATCACCTAATGATTTATATTGGTCTGATGGGGAAACACAAACAGATAATCAATTGAAATGCAAATGTGGTATAAGTTTTGTTCAAGATGTTCAGACTGGAAATTTGTTATATATAATGGAAAACAAAGATACTGAAATCTACCTCACATTAAAGAAACAATCAATGGATGTAGAATTGGGAATTAATTGGGAAAAATTGAACGCATTAATAAAAACCAATGAACAAGTGAGAAAGCATTTAGAAAGTTATGAAGAAAAAACTAAAAAGGATTTTGTTAGAATCCAACAGGTTAATGGAGAGTTCCAGAGAGTAGCAGCAGAAGAAAGTACTTTGACAGAACATCACTGGTATGATATCTTCATGGGCTATTCACCAAAAGCAACAGCATTCTTACATTTAATGATACATCCAATAGTATGGATAGGGATACTTTTATTGCTGCTAATCATTTGGATCTTATGGCTTCTTAGACGAATGACAGGATTGACAAATCGATTCTCTATATTTGAAAACAAGTTAACGTATTTAGAAACACAATTATGAACTGTGATGTTTGAATAATCATGTAAGTTCAATATTAACCAAAACATATATACCTCATACTTAATCAAGTTTGACTATATATATACCTCACATTTAATCAAGTTTGACTATTAAGTTTGATTATAAAAACATATATATCTCACACCTAATCAAGTTTGATTATAAATATAACCATCACTGAATTGCTTATCATGTATGAATCATGTATGTGATACAATAAATTAGTATTTATGTATCAAGGGGAGGAGTATGTAAGGAATGAATGTCTGTATGCATGTAGAAGAGCAGAAGAAGCAGGCCTGAAGAAATCAACATGGAGTCCCCGCAAAGCATTATGTGGGACGGCCTTGGCAGCTGAAGCGAGGATGCAGCAAGGCATAACTGGATGACAATGGACAATAAGATGTGCGACCGAGCATGTAAGGAGTGCACGATGCATACAGGAGGTACCCCATAAATCATGAGGCCTGGAGTCTGAATGTCCCGAACTTTGGAGAGAACAAAGATTTGGGAGGACTTGAAAGAGAACGGGACAACTTGACTGTTGAGATGAAGAAAAATGGATTTTGGCCTATAAATGTAGGGGGCTCCTGACGATCGTCACGTCTCCTGACCGCGGCACCGGGAGCGTCCGTCCCTCTTCGGAAAGACTGATCACCTTCACCGGAAGAGGCCTGTGTGTGTGAGTATGAACGAGTGTGTGTGTGCAAGAGAGCTCTCCTTGATGTGATTCTATGATGATTGTATTTCAATAAATGTTACATGAATAGTGGCAAAACCAAATTTGGTCTCCAAAGTGTCTCATTGATCTAAGCTACCTTACCATTCCTTATACACTCTGCACAAAAGAACAGGAACCTCTTTGGGTTCATAACAACGTGATCATGTATGGTTGAAAAAATGCATGTTGCAACTTACACTATGGAAGATTCTAGAATATTCTAGAAAGTTTGATGACGCAGTATTAGTGCCGTGTGCAAAAGCCAGAAAGCCCTATATAAGGCCAGACTTTTGAACGGTGAGGCTCAGTCAGTTGAAGACTGAAACAGTATCGTTAAACATCGTTTTACATTGTTCTTTTTACTGTAGTTATGCCTTGCACGTGTGTAAATAAAGCACTATGAAAAAAGATATCAAGGCAAATGGACTCCGTCAATGCTGTCAGACTACTGCTGGAGCATTGTAAGAGACAATCCTTTCCTTGAATACAAAAGAAAAGTCAAGAGAAGCAAACAGGATAAAAACTAAAGTCACGATTAAAGCGACATTTAAACTTTCAGACTTTTCAACTGCATTAGGCCTACTAATATAGTTTCTTGCTGCACAAACATAAACAATAGACTAATTAAATAAATATTTCTCATGTATAAACTATTGGCAATATAATTTGACTAAAATTTAGTAAATATTCACGGTTTATATACATGCAGTAAGGTTAGGCGCATTATCATAATATTAACGAATTACTTATTGTGGAGAAAATTGAAATAGCTGTTGCATAAAAACCAGAGCCAATTAACACATTTAATTATTATATTTGAATTCAGCATGTTAAATTTATTAAGAAACGGCACATTTCGTTTCCGTAACTGAGAAAAACTGAAAATTTGTAGAACAGTGTAATTGAATCAGAAATACAATAATTTAAAGGAAGTGCTTCTTTTCTAATTGAGATAGTTGTCTTTGTCTCTCTCCCCCCCCCCCTTATTTATAGGGAGCACTTAGAAGATTAAATTGAATGTTTATGTTATAGGCTTTTTTGGTTTATGTAATAATAATAATAATAATAATAGTTTATTTATATTTCACCCTTCTCCCTGTGAGGACTCAGAGCAGATTACAGTATAAAAAGATACTGGCAAACATTCAATGCCAAGACACACAAACAAAGGCAAAGGCTTCTCCTTTCATTTCCGGCTTTGGAGCCAATGCTGATCTCGGGCTCTGAGGGAGGTGCTGTTCTCCATTTCCAAACTGAGGAGCCTGCATTGTCACCTCCTGGTTGTGTGACCAGCATAACTGCTTGCAGCATCTTATGCCTTTCCCACCAATGCAGTACCTATTTATCTACTCACATTTTCATGCTTTTGAACTGATAGGTTGGCAGGAGCAACCTAGCAATGCAGCATAATGTGGCAATAAATTCCATAAATCACACAGGGATTGAAAGTTCCCTTCTTTCTGTCTTGTAAGAGGAAAAGGACATGTGCTTCATAGCACTGTTTGCTAATTTTGTTGGAAGAAGTGAAGGGTTGCTAGAATCAGTGTGAGCTTTCTCCTTAAACTGTTGGCTATCATCTATAAAATTCATCCTCTCCCCAATTTTGCTGTGCTTCTTACACAAGGAGTGAGAGATGCACATTTTGAAAACACTAGAGTGATAAAGATTAGCTTTCCAAAAGTTAGTATTGGGATTTCAGCATTCACTTACCAATTTTCCAGTTCCATTGAATATTGGCGATGTCTTTATGTTCCACAATGGCTCTAAAGGAAAAATGGGGAAGAAGAAGAAAAACAAGGGGGAAGGGGGACACTGAAGTTAAAATGTGATGATGAAGTTTCCAGAATCCAATATACAACATGAGTAAACAAAATAGATTTCTGAGGGACCCCATAGGTCAACAGGTCAACAGCCAAGGCATCAAATACCACTACATTTCTGTTTAAATTTAAATTCTGTGGAATTCCCTCCCCAAAGACATCAGATTGGCCACCTCCCTCCTGTCCTTTAGAAGGAAACTTAAGACTTGGCTGTGGGACCTTGCGTTTGACCATTGAATAGCGGCTTATATGAAGAAGACATAAGCAATTTTGACGTGACAGTGAATTGAACCAGACCCAGATTTTAACTGACGTGTTTTAACAACTGTTTATTTAATGTTTTGTTTTAATGAATTTGTTGATTGTTTTTATCATTATGATGGCACCGAAGGGTGTTTGCTGTGAGGCCACCCTGAGTCCCCCCTTGTGGGTGAGAAGGGCGGGGTACAAGTATATGAAATAAATAAGTAAATAAATTTCTGTGTTTGCCCTTCCAACAAAGACTAAAATCACTGTATAACGGTGCTCTGAAGTCCCATACCAGCAAAAAATATCATGACCCATAAAGGACACCATAGTTGATGGTATCAAAAGCCAGTGAGAGTTCCAGTAGAACTAACAGGGACACACTCTCACTCTCCAGTTCCCTGCATAAATCATCCACAAAGGCAATCAAAGGAGCCTTTGTTTCATAACAAGACCTGATTCCATATTGAAATGGTTCTAGATAATCTCTATTATCCCCAAACCTCTGGAACTGGGAGGCCAACACACACTCCAGAGCAGGAATGGACAAACTTTGGCCCTCCAGGTGTTTTGGACTTCAACTCTCACAATTCCTAACAGCCTAACAGTATAGAAGGACCCAAAGGTTAGACCTGTTACTGGGTATGTTTGACTCTCTGATTCCAAAACTGGCACCTATTTCACCCTATCAGCGGTAATTTTTGAGATACAGAACATATGCCATATATTGCTTGCCCATGATGTTAACCATATCTGCTAGAGATGATATGGTCTATTATCCAATGCAATTTTCTGTATCAGCATCCCAAATAATCCCAAGAACAGTCCTAAAAACCAAGGGCTCTTCCACACAGCCATATAACCCAGAATATCAAGGCAGAAAATCCCTTAATATCTGCTTTGAACTGAGTTATCTGAGCCCACACTGCCATTTATTCCAGTTCAAAGCAGAAAATGTGGGGTTTTATTCAGTTGTGTGGAAGGGTCCTAAGTCACCAAGAATGTTGTTTAATCATAGAATTAAGGAGTTGGAAAAGACCTCAAGGGCCATCTAGTCCAACCCATGCAGGAAAGCACAATCAGATGGCCACCTAAATAGAGGAATGTTTTTACCAAAAATTTATAGACAGTCGTCCTGTTGTCATCTACACATCTGGGACTGCCAGGTGCATCTACACCAGGCATGGGCAAACTTCAGCCCTCTAGGTGTTTTGGACTTCAACTCCCACAATTCCTAACAACTGCGAGGCTGTTAGGAATTGTGGGAGTTTAAGTCCAAAACACCTAGAGGGCCAAAGTTTGCTCTTGTCTGCCTTAGAGCCTCTCCCAAATTTGGATCACTTGAGATTGTCCAATAATTATTCTGAATGGTGGAACTCACAACGTCTTAGGAAAATGTACTTAATATATTACTTTTTATTATTTTGAGGTTTTAAAATACAAAATACACCCAAAAATAGAAATATTGCCCAAGACAGCAAAACATCTCATGACCTGCAAAAGTCAATGTATTAGAAACAAGGTCAACATGTTCTTGTTAAAAGTAGCAATGTCACCAGTCATCACATTATTTCACAAAACAATATAATTGCAGCCTTGCTACAACCAAATGCAGCACAGTCCTATTTGTACTCATCATTAGTTACAATGTGTTTCTTTCATGTTCTACATCTAACACTCATTTATAAACAGCCTTGAAACTTACCTCCGGCTTGCCTCACTGAAAGCTTTGAAAAATCCCCCCTTTCCCAGAAAAAAAACATTTCCAGAATCCCCAGGAAAGATGCCCCAAAAGTAATCCCCAAACTTTCTCAGTGTCTAACAATCACTTTTAACAGTTCACTATCTGAAATTAGTTCACCTAGGAAACCATTTAGGTCTGTATGTGTATGTGAAAACCTGGCTCTGGGGTCAAGACTTTGGAGATTAACTACAGTGCAATAAAACTTATTTATTGATTTACGACATTTACATGCCTCCCTTCTCACCCCGAAGGGGACTCAGAGCAGTTTACAAGATATATATAAATACAATATATTATATTATTAGCATAGTACAGTATCAGTATTATATATTACTATATTGTACTATACCATTATATTGTAATATTATTAGTAATATTACATGTAATATAAATTATATAATTATAATATTGTATTATTATTAGTATTATATTGTATTACATTATAATATTATAAATATTATATGTATATACAATATATTATATTATATTATATGTAAAGCACAGGAGACATAATAGCTACATAATTATGCACAATGACTTTTGGAATGACCCCAGACTACTATTGTGGATGGCATGATTTTTATTAGTGATTGTAATATTTTATATGTTTTAATTTGCATTTAATTTTAATTTTTGAATCTTTAACTTAATGTATTTTAACTGTTTGTTGTTCAAAGGCAGTGAATAATTGCCATATGTAAAGCTGCCTTGAGTCCCCTTTGAGGGAGAAAGGCGGGGTATAAATAGAGTAAATAAATAATAAATATGTGCCTTCACATTACAGTAGTCTCACTTATCCAACCTTCGTTCATTCTACATTCTGTATTATCCAATGCAGTCTGCCTCCCGCCCTGAATAATGTCCAGGGTAGGAGAAAGAAAGAACCCTTGTCTGTTTTGATACTAAATTCATAAATACAGTAATTACTACATAACGTTACTGTGTATTGAACTGCTTTTTCTACTCATTTGTTGAAAAACATGATGTTTTGGTGCTTAATTTGTAAAATCATGACATAATTTGATGTTTAATAGGCTTTTCCTTAATCCTTCCTTATTATCCAACATTTTTGCTTATCCAAAGTTCTGTCAGCCCCTTTATGTTGGATAAGCAAGACTCTACTGCACCTATAAACTTACGGTGCCTCCATGAATTTCATAGAGTTTTCTTAAGCAAGGAATATTCCCAGATGGTTTTGCCAATTCTTTCCTCTGAAATATAACCTACAGCATCTGGTATTGGTTGGTGGTTTCCCACTCAAGTACTAACCAGAGCTGACCCTTCTTAGCTTCCAAAATCAGTTCTGGTACTTTTAGGCTATATACAGTCTTTGTTGTTATGTGCCTTCAAGTGTACTCCAATTTATGGCAATGCTATCAAAAGCTTTTATTGGCAAGACGTATTCTGAGGAAGTTTGCTATTGGCTTCTTCTTACCCTGAAAGAATGTGATTTGCCCAAAGTCATCCTGGCTGAACAGGGATATGAACCCTGGTCTCCTGGCATTCCAGTCTCAACACTGAACACTACTATATTACACTGGCTCTGATTCTTTAATAAGGACTTTGATTTTATTAAAATTTAAACCATCCTAAACTAATCCTTTTAGGGAAGTCAACAATGTTTTACTTGAAATGCAATTTCTCTCGCTTTCTTCCACTTTCCCCCTTTGTCTTCAGCTTCCTTCAATTACTACAAACTGAGTTCAAAGGGCAAAAGTAGCTTGAAATACAGTAGAGTCTCGCTTATCCAACATAAACAGGCCGGGAGAATGTTGGATAAGCGAAAATGTTGGATAATAAGGAGGGATTAAGGAAAAGCCCAATAAACGTCAAATTACATTATGATTTTACAAATTAAGCACCAAAACATAATGTTTTACAACAAATTGACAGAAAAAGCAGTTCAATACATGGTAACCTTCAGGCCTGTAGCTGGGGGGGGGGGGTTAGGGGTTCAAATTTTTCTGGTTAAAAAAAACCCTGGTTTACTCATGAAGTTTAACTAGTTAACCAAATCSCCATGCTAAGTCTATGAGACACAAAAAATTAAGAGTCCATCCAGAACTGCAAACACTATCTCAAACAAATATTGACAATTTATTCACACTGTCATTACTTGCAGCAATAGTCGATGTAGTGAAGCAACCAAGTTGTGGGGGGTGTTGAATGCTCTCATTAAGAAGGCCAGACTTGGTGGAGGTGGTTGACAGGGGTGAACCTGCTGGCTATTGAAGGCTGCTCTGCCCCCTGCTGTGTTCAGCGTGAGCTAGGAGGCAGGTTTCAACCCTCCCCTGAAATTTTCAACACCCCCCCCCCAAATAAATTTTCTGGCTACAGCCCTGGTAACGTTATGTTGTAATTACTGTATTTATGAATTTAGCACCAGAACATCTCAATGCATTGAAACAGCTGTGGATCTGGGAGAGATAAGCAACTGCGTTGGATAATACAGAACGTTGGATAAGCAAAAGTTGGATATGTGAGACTCTATTGTAAATTTACCCAGAGGAGAAGAGAATCTTATCCTTCCCAATGACTCAGATGAAAGCAACCTGCTGCATCATGCTATCCAGTAAATCTGCTGAGAGGGGATGGTTGTCCCTAATTCAGATTCTTTTTCCCAAAGTATTTTAAATTACTTTAATACTTTTTTGGATTTTGCATACTGGGTCTTGACATCAGTATGAAATTGTCTTCAGAATGGAGCCAATGCTACAGGAAGGCTGATATTATACAACTGCAAAAGACTTAAGATCACTCTCCGTAAAATGGTGACGACACAAGTCCACAAAAGCCAAATCCCAAAGCAGTCAACAATTAAGAATCCTTAATCCTGTGTCAAGTTTCACAAAGACCAAGAAGATTATTTGCATGAATAACCATTTACAGGAGTTGGAATTCTCACGGATAGCATGATCAGCACATAAACTAGAAGAAGACAGTATAAAAAAAGCTGAACATAAGCTTAATATGAGAAAAAATGAGATGCTCAGGCAACCAAATAAATGCCTAACCATCTTGGTCTGCCAGCTTACAACCCAGAGATCTCCCAGGATTTTGTTTTCAAATAGCCAATCACACAAAGTCCAGGAGGTGGATATACAAAAGAACAGGAGGAAGGCGAGATGAATGAGTGAGAGGTCTTCTAATTTGGTACTGAATTTAGAAATAAAGGGGAAATCTCTGGGTTGTCGTCTGGTGACACTACACAGACTAAATGCAATGTGAACAATGGCACAACCCACCAATTCATGGAAGGGAAGAAATCATTCTGTGGTGTGGATGGTTTTCTTAATTTACAATGAAAGTACGTATAATAGGTCCTTACAGCTGCAGACCGCTGATAATAGTCCCAAACAAGCCCACCATTCCTAGAAACTCCACTCTGCTCAGATTTTTCACAATGTATTCCTCACTCACATTCGAAATCGCATACAACGAAGCGCCGAGGAGGACTAAGACATCTCCAATCACCACGTCGCTTCCTGTACAAAAGACATGAATTGGGTTTTAGAAAGGAAATCAATCTAAAGTAAAGTATATGGGAGTGTCAAGAGATAACAGTAGCCATATTTTACAGGTATTTGATGTCTTTTAGGATAACATTTGGTATCTACTAGAGAATTATTTATTTTTCCTTTTACTGAAGACTATTTCAAAGCAAGAAACTTTGAGTATTCCTTGCCTAAGAAAACCATACGAAATTTATGGGTTGCCATAAGTGAACACACAACTTGAAAGCAAAGAGCTACACAATAAGCTGCTAATATACAACTGCAGTGCCTGGCTGAAAAGTTGACACAATGGAGACTGGTTGCTACTTTTAAATAGCTGCAAGATAATGCTAGTGTCATAGAGTTGGAAGAGACTACAAAGGCTCCAAAAATATATCATCAAAGCACTCCTGACAGATGACCATCCAGCCTCTGTTTATAAACCTACACAGAAGGAGTCTCCACCACATTGTGGGGTAGTATATTCCATTGTCGAACAGTTCTTACTGTCAGGAAATCCTTTCTATGGAGTCATAACTTTCATAGGATCCTAGAGTTGGAAGAGATCACAAGGGTCATTCACACAGCACAAAATCTGGATAGGAATGGGGCACACATTACCAGGCAAGGTGAGGGGTTCACCAGGAAACATTATTGCCACTGTCAAACATTTGGGATACATGGATTAAGAAAATGATTTGAAATACAGGGGGTTTTTTGTGAGAAGTGTTTATGCTGTTCCCTTTGTTGGACACTTTAAGAAATCCTGAAAAAGTCTACATTAGAGTTACTCATGACACAATCAACACTCTGAGAGAAACCTGAGAAATGTGAAGGATTGTTCTAAAATGTCAGGTTCTTTCTCTTTTCCTTGTACGTCAATGTCCCAATTTAGCTCTCCAGGGAAGTCAATAAATTGATTGCGGTAAGAGCTGAACCAAGTTCTACATCTCAGAAACTTCCTAAATGGATGCTAAGATTATATTAGCTTTTTTTTTAGGGCAAAGGCACAATACAATACACGTAAATGGCACTCATTTTACTAGGACTTTCTGTATAACACGATCCAGCTGAGTAATCTTAATCTTGAATTTAATAAGAATTCAATACGTAAATTGCTGCTGTTAAGGAAGTTGCATGCTCCTCCACTGGCTGGCAGAGTTCCTGTCCCTTTTAACAAATGGAAATTCAGCAAGGGAATCATTTAGTAGCACATTGCCAGGAATCAATTGCTTAGAGTGGTAGTGGGGTCTCCTCTGGGCATCTTCAAAAAGTTGCTGGACCACCTGCTGCTGATGCTTTAGCTCGGTGGTTCTTAACCTGTGGGTCCCCAGATATTTTGGCCTTCAACTCCCACAAATCCTAGCAGCTTGTAAACTGGCTGGGATTTCTGGGAGTTGTAGACCAAAACACCTCGGAGCCCACAGGTTGAGAACCAGGGGTTGGACTTGATAGCCCACAAGCTACCTTCCACATCTATGATTTGATGATTTTAGGAGATGCTTGCTCTGCAAAAGGAGCTGGATTTTTACCTATCATGCTTGATCATGGAGACTAGGGTGCAGAACAATGACTTCAAACTACAGGAAAGGAGATCCCACCTGAACCTGAGGAAGAACTTCCTATCTGTGAAAGCTGTTCAGCAGTGGAGCTCTCTGCCCCAGAGTGTGGTGGAGGCTCCTTCTTTGGAGGCTTTGAAACAGAGGCTGAATGGCCATCTGTCGGGGTGCTTTGAATGCATTTTTCCTGCTTCTTGGCAGGGGGTTGGACTGGATAGCCCACAAGGTCTCTTCCAACTCTATGATTCTATGATCAATTCTCAGACAATGCCGCCCCTTAATGAACAGACTGGTTTCAACTAGGAACAGTGGGGGAGCCATCCAGATGTTGTTGGACATCATCTTTTACACAATCTAGATAGTATATCTAATAGTGAAGAAAAACTGGAACTACAGTCCAATTATACAGTATGACCTCTGTATCCATAGGGGATACATTCCAAAACCTGCCACTGATAGTAGTGATTCTTATATTTTGACTATCCTTGACCTAGAAGCTTACCATAGCAGAATATAGAAAGACCCATGTACATTTCTAGGGAGGATTATTTTTGGGATTGCGGGTGAATGAAGTTGTAGGCATTGAATTGGCTAAGTGAGTCATAAAGTATCAGTAAGGCCAGAAGGGATCAGGGAGATGTGGTCCTCCAATGTTAACTTTGCCAAATTATGAATCAACCAGATATTTTCCATTCCTGTTTGATTTCACACCCTCTGACTGCCCCATAATCTACAGAATATAATCCATGTCATTATATTTAGCCACTCTTGGTTTGTGTTCCTTACTCAGCCCTGCACAGCATTCTCATTGCAAGATACCTTTTTGGGGGGTTCATGAGATATTGACACAAGTTGGGACTCCCCTACAAAAAGGATGCAAAACTCAAAACCAAAGTAAAACAAATAAACTTTTAAAAAAAAGAAATACAGAATAAAGCCAGAATAAAAACCAAAGTACAATTAAAAGTGAGCAGTGGCACAAACATCTATAAACACACTAACCCCATTTTTAAATCTAGGAGAATACGTAGATTTCATCTGGTGCTGAAAAGACCAAACATAGGCACTGAATGTTCTCTAGAGGGAACATTACACAATGTGAGTGCCAATGCAGACAAGATCCTTATTTTCACAAGAAACAAGGAAATCCACAGGAAATAAGACAAAACTGTTTTTCTTTGCACAAAAGCCTCTTGGTTCAAGAAACACTTCCAATCATCCATAAACTTAGTTCCTTGGGAACCAAGCTAAAACATGTATTTCCACATTAGTGACTTATATACTGTAGACTTGAGTATTTAAAGAATATTTAGAGAACCTCTGTAGTTTGCAGTTTTTAATCACACCCTGAACAGACCTTTTAATTCAAAATAAGATTATTATTTCTTTTAAACAGACATACTAGTTGGACATTTTATTTATTTACACTAAACATTTCAGGTACTGGATAGGTTCCTTGTTATAATATTTGCACATTTCACAGATACACATTGCCCAGGCCTCACCTTCACCATCTGGTCTCCCAGCTAATATATCTGCACCAACCATGGTCCCTACTCCCAGCAGGCAGACAGCAACAGCAAGAAAATGGATCAGCTTGTATCTTGCACGGAGGAGGAACCACGATAATGCCATCAGCACAGGTATCCCAAAGCAGTCTAACAGCTGTCATGGACAAAAATAAACAAATCACCATCATACACAGCCTCGTAATTTCTTATTATCACATTGACAGTCAGATAGCAAATGTTCAGGACTCACAGCCTGACCAGGGTAAACTAAGCTGAATGGCCAAAATGCCCAATCAAACTAGACTCAGTGGAGACTAAAGGGGATCCTGCAAATCTCTTGGGAAAAGAGGCGGACAAATGTCAGCGTGCTGGAAGAAGCAAAGACCACCAGCATTGAAGCGATGGTCCTCCACCATCAACTCCGCTGGACCGGCCAAGTTGTCCGGATGCCCGACCACCGTCTCCCAATGCAGTTGCTCTACTCCGAACTCAAGAACGGAAAATGGAATGTTGGTGGACAGGAAAAGAGATTTAAGATGGGCTCAAAGCCAACCTTAAAAACTCTGGCATAGACACTGAGAACTGGGAAGCCCTGGCCCTTGATCGCTCCAGCTGGAGGTCAGCTGTGACCAGCAGTGCTGCAGAATTTGAAGAGGCACAAATGGAGGGTGAAAAAGAGAAATGTGCCAAGAGGAAGGCACCTCAAGCCAACCCCAACCAAGACCGCCTTCCATCTGGAAACCTATGCCCTCACTGCGGGAGAAGATGCAGATCAAGAATAGGGCCCCACAGCCACCTACAGACTCACAAGACTTCTGACCCTGGAAGACTATTCTACTCGGCCAATGAGGGATTGCCTAAGTAAATAAGTAAGTAAAGGGGATTTTAAGTCCCTTTCCAGATACTTCCCTGGGAATTTGGTGTGACTTAAGATTTTGTGAATTACTTCCTGATGTCTTCCTGGTTTACAATGTTTTGACATGGAAAACAAAGCTTTTGAAACTTTTAAATAAATAAATAATATGCTTTATTTATATTCCACTTTATCTTCCCAGAGAGACTCAGCGGATTTCAATACACATATAAGGAAAACATTCAATGCCATTTAAATGACCAATGACAGACAAGACACAGATAAGCTAAAGGCCTTCCCCTTCTCCATCTCTGGCATCTGGAGGCGCAGCTCAACTTCCAGCCATGGGGAGGTGCACTTTTTCCATTTTTCATGCAGAAGGATCCTGCTGTCAGTAGACATCGCTGATCTTTTAGTTGGCACGTCTGCATGCCTTCCCACCAAAGCAGTACCTACTGCTCTACTCGCATTGCATGCATTCAAACTGCTAGGTAGGCAGAAGCTTGGACTGACACTGGGAGCTGACCCCGACTCGCGACTTTGTGCTATTGACCCTCCAGTCAGCAACCTTTCCTGCAGCTAGCGGTTTTAACCGCTGTGCTACCACAGCCCCAGTGGCACAGCTTTTTTTTTAATTTATTAGTGAAATATAGCCAAAAATCATTAAAAAATTAGGTAAACTTTGTGTTGTATAATTTTGAAACATTTTGCAAAAGTCTGCCCTTCACTTTATGCCATAATACATGTGTTGAAATTTCCCATAAGACTCTGCATCTTTTTTACCTGGACACTTGTTATAGTCGTGTATTGGTAAGCTTTTACAATGGTGTAGTTAGCTTCAACGTCTGCCAACCCAAGCAAAATATACTTCCACCATTTCTTCTTCAGGATCTGCAAGGCATTGTCACCATCTGGAGAGAAAATAAACACACAGCTAAATATCTATGAAGTTCCTCCGCAGAAGTTCTACTTTTGTATTCCACCAAAATCTAAAATGTTGTTAAGTGGGGTATGAGAGAAATTCTTCCCCATGGATCCTTCTAACACTTAAGCATTCCTAGAAGGACAGCACTAATTAATGAATGAGTTACTTACTTAGTTAATGAGTATCCTTTCTTTCTCTCAGAGAAAGACACAAACCAGCTCAGAGAGAGTAAAGAACAAAGTACACAAACACCCTACTTGATACAAAGTTTTTAAGAATAATAATAATAATTCTATATATTTATCTTGTCAGAAGTGAGTTGAGGATACAGTTAACATGTATTTAAAAATGCAAAGTTTAAAAACTTTGGCATTATGCTAAATAATAATAATAATAATAATAATAATAATAATAATAATAATAAAAATCTTAAATAACAATACGTATCTCCCTGGGTGAGATAAGTAAATGGAGAAGTATGTGTCTGTGGGGGAGCTCAGAAGGGACAAACAATGGGATTGAGCCTTCATTAAACACAAGGGAAAGATGCATACAAGCACAAAGCAACACTAGCCCTCATGTGGTCATGTTGGTAGAAACAAGACCCAAAGCAAAATAGAGTGGGGCTATGATTTTCCTCGATCTAGACACTGTACTATTGATGCAGCCTAGAATTATATTGGCTGTCCCAGCTACCGCATCACACTATTGATTCATGTTCAACTTATGGTCTACTAAGTCTCCTAGATCTCTTTGACATGTACTTTACTATTTTCAAGTGATGTGTCACCCATCCAACCAAAATCACAAATGCCAAACACCCTAATACTGAGGGCTGATGTCACACCCCAGGCCTGAACCACCTGTGATCATAGCAGAGTCCAGAGTAGAAGCAAACAGTTTATTGCAAAAACACACAAAAGATATATAGTAAAAAAGCAGAAATGAGGTGTAGCATCCAAAACGCCAGCAATGAATCATCTGTTTAAAAATCCAAAAGCAATACAATCCAAAAACAGTCCCAAAATGGAAAGGCAGCTTAAGTCCATACGCAAAACTTGAACAAGAATACAAAACATGACTATGGAGAACTCCCAATATACTTAAATCCAAAACCAAGACTTGAAACCAATAACTCAAGCTTAGCTGTACTTGAACGCCACATTGCCTGAACTGAAATCAGAGTGCCCGTTTGCTCCTAATAAACAGATATGAAAGCATTATGTCTGCCCTGAAATTTCTACCTCCCACTAAGCTGTGTTCATCTTCGAAGCTGGCTATCTGCTTGAAAGCATGCTTCCGTGCTTGGGTCAGTATCATACGGTGCTTTCCCAGGAGTGTTTCTCATCAATTCATCTTCACTAGCCTCCTTATCTAGAGAGGATGATACCAACTCCTGCAGCTGGCCTTGAGGTTCAGAGGCAATTATACTCTCAGGCCCTGCATCTGTGCCTGCATACCAATCTGAAATGGTTTCACTTTCTTGCCCTGAAACAGAATGAATCCCAGGAAAGCCCACAATCCCATCTGACTCTAAGTCATCAGTGAACCCATCAGCCCCTGGCTGCTGTGACAGCTGCTGAGCTACAACAGCTGAGTATACTGACAATGGGGTTGAAATGCTATTGGGGTGGATATGCAAACCCAAGAAGGATCCAACATAGGCAACCTGGGACCCTCCAGACATTTTGGACAACTMCTCATAATTCCCATGCTGGCACCAGGATTGTGGTGCAGCTGGCTGAGTTTCAGCTGCATTAAGATCACTCTGACCAAAAGGTCATGAGTTTGAAGCCAGCCCGGGTTAGAGTGGGTTTCCAACCAATTGTGGGTAGCCTGTTGTCGACCTTTGCAACCCGAAAGACAGTTGCATCTGTCAAATAGGAAAACAAGGTACCACCTTAAAGTGTGGGGAGGCTAAATTAACTGATTTATGAAGCCATAAAGAAGACTCCAGCAAAGCATTCCAGCGGGGAAGAATGCGGAAGTGCTTCATCAGCGTCGCAGATGGACGCAGCTCCCCGGAGGCCAGAAAAAKTTAAATAGCCTCTGTGTATGTCTGTATATGTTTGTATGTCAAAAAYTGGCATTGAATGTTTGCCATATATCCGCCCTGAGTCCCCTGCGGGGTGAGAAGGGCGGAATATAAAAGCTGTAAATAAATAAATAAATAAATAAAGCAGTTGTAGTCCAGATAAAACCACGTTGTCTGCCCTAAGAGGAGGATATAGTGTTCTGGTTGGTTGGTTAGTTGGCTAGAGCACAACACAAAAACACCATCCACTACATTATTTCATTTCAAATCCCAGTTGTACCTTTCCTGAAGACCAGAGTCGTCGTGTATATAAGAAAAAGCAAACAATAGTTGATGAAACTTTGTAGCATGGGAGTGTTCACACTGTATTTGTCAGCAAGGAATTGGCTTGTCACTGCCGTCCCACAGATGAACAAGGAGAGTACTTGACCCAGGGCAAGCGTTTTCACCATATGCCTGCAAATGTAAAAGAAAGACATGGTTTAGTATCTCCTTTAAACCAAAGAACGTGATAATTCACAACATATGTCAAGGATGAGGTCAGGAAATACTCCTACTATTTTCCTTCCCTGATAGAAATAACTTAAATGGAAAAGGAGTACTAAGCCAATGGTTGGAACTTGCCTTGCTGCATCTGAAACCTGTTCTTCTGGCTCATGCTATTAACCAAGTTTAGAAACTTTCAGGATTTTTGAAGCCCAGTTATTTGGAAACTTCCAGTTGTGACCTAAAGTCAATATACCAGTCATTTAAAAATATTTACTGGCTATATATATATGAATTCATCATCCACCTTTCTCTCCTGCCTGCAAAATATTTTTGCTTGGCCAAGTCCTTATTTTTGTTTTTGTTGTTGCTTCAACATGCATAAAAAGATCTACATTGATGCACCTTTGGGAATAGTTACATAAAGCCATTAATGGTAATCAATCAATATCATTTTTGTGTATTTAAGATTTTAAAAGCTCCTTACTATAAATCAAAAGCCAAGTGTTTGTTATTGTGGTCACCAACAGCTTTCATTCCAGGCCTATGTTCCCATAACACTATAACAATTAGATTACCAAAGATGCCATGTGAATATAGCAGTATTCTGAAATAGTTAATATGTCAGTATTAAATGTATTAATATTGCACCATGAATATTAGTTTTTTGAGATAATATTAAAATCATAAAGAAATTACACTTATAAAAGGCAATTACTGAGTTCTTCTTGTAACTTTCTAGCACTTGTATAAAAAGGAAGGGAAGGGAGGAAAAAAGGAATGTGCCACAGTTCAATGCTATTGAATCTTGGGAATTATAGTTTTACAAGATCTATAGCCTTGTCTACAAATGATTGCTGGTGCCTCGCCAAACTAGAACATAGAAGTTTTGTGTGTGTGTGTCTCAGGAGCAACTTGAGAAACTGCAAACTGGTGTGAAATAATTGGCCATCTGAGAAGATTTTGCCCAGGAGATGCCAGGATGTTTTACTATCCTGTGGGAGGCTTCTCCAGCATGAGAAGCTGGAGCTGACAGATGGTAGCTCACCCCGATCCCCAGATTTGAACTGTCAACCTTTCAATCAGTAGTCCTGCCAGCACAAGGGTTTAACCAATTGTGCCACCGGGGCCTCCAACATGGAAGTTTAAATGCTGTCTAACTGCATTCGTTCTACAGTGTAGATGCACCCCAACTGGTTTTTATTTTGTACAAGATTTCATGGATACATAAACTCACTTCTTCAGATGCAGTACAGAACTATATTAAAACCTCGGGTTATAAAGCATATTTATTTACACAGTTATGAGTGTAAGAATTGAATGTAAGATGAACTAAAAATACACAAATATCTATAGTGTTGTTGGCTGCTTTGGGTCTCTTTTTAGAGAGATAAAGTAGGATATAAATCAATGGAATAATAGTGATGATGAGGATGTCTCCTGTTCTAAATGTTTAAAGGGCTGGGCAGTGTGATACGAGTTTTTCAGATCTTTATAGTGGATCCAATTGCATTCTATCCCACTTCCACAAGTGTATAAATTTTCCACAAAATCTCATGCTAAAATAAAAACTAGTTTGTCTTAAAAGTGGTGTCACATTCCTTTTTCCCCATCTCCCTTACTCCTATATATGCTGCAAGACTCTAACATGACTGCTTCTTTGAAATATTCAAGCACAGAGCAGGGAAAGTTGGTTGCCAAGGTCCCACATAGCAATCTTCAGCCAAAAACCACTCCTTGAGGAGATCAGATGTCTTCTTCTCATTCACCCTTCTGTTGTTTTTGGCCAGTTTTGGGAAGGAGTGTGATAGGTTCACATTAGGGTTGCCACATGTCAGAAGCATCTTGAAGACATGTAACAACAAGGTGACTGAAGAATTCTGGGGCTTAGAACTCACAAAGGAATCTTACCAAGTGTTGTGGTTCAGCCAGAGGCTGAAGAAGAGGGGATTGTTTAGTCAGATGTTGTGAGGAATGATGGGCTTCCCAGTGTGGGAAATGAGGAGATTTTGAATCATGATTACATCTGAGAGGATGGGCCTGTATTTGGTCAGAAAGGGAGGAGATGGAGATGCTTGGGCATCTGAAGATAGGGAAGACTTTTCCCTTGGTTGTTCCTTGGCAATGGAAGATAAGGAGCTGGAAAGGAAAGATTTTTTTCCCCTGGAAAAACACCTGAGGTAAGTAGGAATATGAGACTTGATCTCCAGGAGGAGGGAGTCAGATTACAGAGGTCACAGAGACTCCGTGAGAAATCCTTGAAGCAGATCAGATGTCAAAAGCATGACTTCATGGCTTGTGGACCTTAAATTAAAGTGTTGTTTACTGAAAAGGTTAGAGCAGGCAACACTGCGTTAACGTGTACACCTTGGATTTTGTTCTCGTTCCACATTCAAGTCTAGGTTTAAGATCTTTGGGAAAGTCTTGTGCTCATGTTCATGGATTCATGTTTTGGAATAAGTTCCTATAAGCTCATGTTCCTGGTTATGGATTTATGTATATGTTTTGATTCCTGGTTTTTCATATACCTTGTCACTTTTGAACAGAACTTTGATGTTTGGACAATTGCCTTTTGAAAGCCTTTTTCCTATTTCTTTTTGGACATTGCTTTTTTACATTGCCTTTTGTCTTTTGCCTTTTTATATTTACTTTCTTCAATGAACTGTTTAGTTAGTACTACTGGACTCTTGTGTGGTGCTGGGTACAAAGGTGAATCCAGGCTAGATTGCAACACCAAGCTTCGCACCCAATATTTCAGTTTACCATAACCACAAGATGGGTATTTACTATGAAACTGAACTGAGACACTTTGCTGCCTGAAGTTGTCAAAGTGTAATAATGAATATATCTGGCTTGCAAGAAATGATCAATATCTATATTAATAGGTTCCAAAATGATGAGCGCTGTAGCAGCTATTACTAAAAATGCAACAGTACAGTGTATTCTTAATTACCAGTTTGGCATAAAGAGTACCCTGTTAAAAATTGGGAGGCGGACAGGACATTCTATCTTTTTACAAAGTTGTAGCATATTCAAATATTGACTTCACAAATCTGTTTTCCATGTGGAAGGGGCAGCAAATGTACTTTCATAACCGATATCTCCCTCTTCGCCAATTTCTCTAATTGTGCTACCGGGATAGCTATTGATTACCACTGTTCTTATCAATTATTTATCAGCCCATAAATAAAGGCGCAATTATCTTTCCTTTCCAGAACTTGGCTGCATCTCTCTGGCCCACTTTGCAAGGCCAATTTAAGATTAATTGCTTTTGCCTCTTTCTTGGATGAGGTAATGTAAATGATGTCAGAGAGGGCTACTTGTGGTTTTGATTTATTTTGCTGACTATACACCACAAACAACTTGTTTACTTTGTCACTCTTTGTCTACACACCATAACCAAGAAAAAGGGAGAAAGTCCTAACTGACGTTAGCCTACAATATCTGCATGTCTTCTGACCTTACTCAAGGGCATCTACACACCTATCAAAGTGGCTTTTTAAAAGGTTAGGATTATCTCATCCATCTTTTAGTGAAGAAAAAAACCATGTCAATATAGGTGCTTAGTACATCAAGATTTAGGAACCTCTTTCAACCAGACAAGCACATTCAGAGAACTGCTCAAGGGCTCCTTTCCACTGTTGGCTGGTCCAAAAGCAAATGCATGGGACCGAAAATCATAGCATGGATCATCTTAAGGTTCTTAAGGCCAAACAGAAGAAGTATTTCATCGAATGAGTACAAAATCTGGGAAACCACCAAACAATATTGCCATGGGGTGCAGCCACCTGAGATCTGGATTCAACACTAGAGCCTAAAGTTCCCTAAAGTATGGCAGGAATTGGGTGACAGAACAATGAAATTATTTGGGCAGAACTTCCCACCCAAGGTTCCTGAACAAAGCTAGCAGTCATGAGATAAGGGCCCTTTCTACACTGCCATATAAAATCCAGATTATCGTCTTTGAACTGGATTATATGGCATTGTAGACTCAGATAACCCAGTTCAAAGCAGATAATCTGGATTATCTACTTTGATCACCTGGATTATATGGCAGTGTAGAAGGGGCCAAAGAAGACAGGTTGTATTATGAACTAGAGCTTTTTGCATGTGTTTTCTTCACCTGTAGGGCCGGGCTACAGGTGAAGGTTTTAACAGCCTGTTCTAGAAGATCCTGCCGACCGGAAGGTTGGCAGTTCAAGCCCGGGTCGGGGTGAGCTCCAGTGGCTAGCCCAGCTTCTGCTCACCTAGCAGTTCAAAAACAACAATGTAAGTAGATAAATAGATACTGCTTTGGTGGGAGGTAAAAGGTGCCCTGAAAAAAACATGTCGGCAAAAATCCGACCAGGAAATGTGTCCATGGACAACAGGTTCCTCAGCGTCGAAAGTGAAACAACAGCACCTCCCCATGGCCAAGTCAAGCAAAGCCAGTTGCTGGGGATGAAAAGAGGGAAGCCTTGCCTCTGTTTACATACTGTCTGTCTCTGTCAACTGTATTACAGCATTGAATGTTTGCCATATATGTACCTGTAATCCACTCCGAGTACCCTTGGGGAGATAGAGCGGAATATAAATAAAGTATGAACTTTATAGGGTTTTCCTAAGAAGTGAATAAAGGTATTTTTTGCCAGTTTCTTCCTCTGAAATATAGCACCTGGAATTCACTGGTGAGCTCCCATCCAAGTTCTAATCAGGGTTGACCCTGTTTAACGTCCAAGATGAGACAGGATCTGGTGCTTTTAGGGTATTTAAGTTCTTTGGGGCTGAATTTTTAAAGAGAGGGAATAACTGGAAAGTTCTCAAAACAAAAGGTGATATGGAGTGACTTCCAAAGAATCCTTATCATTGTTCCAATATTCACATAGTACTTTCCAATAGTGACTTATGATCCTGTGTCTGGGGTGAGATGAATCCACTTCAGGTTTTTAAAGGAGCTCTTCAAAGAGCTTCAACAACTTGGATTTCTTCCT